ATCTTTTTAATTATACTGGCTGCATTTTCTCATTTTAATAAGTAGAACAGCCAGACAACATAACTAGCCATTGTAGCATTTACCAAATATACCGTAGTTAAAACAATGCATTTTCGGTGTTTACAAACCAGTTACAGTTTCTTAAACACAATTACATCCACATTGTATTTAATTAAACAATTTAGCTTTTCTAAAATTCTTTTTTATGTAATTATATAAGGGCTAAATTGTCAAAATGTCTCAAACAAAAGTGTGAATCTTTGGTTCTCTTTTTCAATAGGGTCAATCTATCTAATTGAGATATTCCTGAATATTCTACTACATGGAATCAGTCATTGTTACTCAATGAAAAAAGCGAAAAAGAATCTGAAAATGCAGGAGTACCCAGATCCCGGCATGTTGTGATTTATACGGAATTTGTTCACAAGGTTTTTTGGTGAAACTGTCTGATAATTCCACCAGAATGGGATTTTCACAGTCCTGATACTGTAGCTTGCACTTGCATTGATGCTTCTTGGGGCTCTTAGAAATACTTCCTTACTAAGGATAAACATTACTGAAATGTTTATTTAACCCACTAGGACCTGTGTCCAGTGCATTAAGACAGGCCTTCCCATACACATTCATTCATCAATCTGGCAACTGCGAGGCCAGGACTTTACTCCCCGCGACCTGACACAGGAGAATTCTCTATAAAGGAGTAGCACTCATTTTGCTTCCCTTCCTGTGGCTCTTTCAAAATCATAAAACCGTTTGTTTCAAGTTCGCGACACTCTGTACAAACAATTCTGCAAAGAAAAAAAAGGTCCATTTAGATGAGGCCTGATTTCAAAACAAGAAATGTTAACTGAATTTTTGTTCAGGGGTGCAGCAATTTTCACAACACAGGAACAGTAAAATTATTTGGCATGAGTTGAGAAGGATTATTCATTCATTAAGTTAGTAAGTGGTTAATGAACTCCCCTTATCTGTGTGATTGCTTGAATTATGTATCTCTCTAATTTCTGAGAAGAGTTTCTTTTCTGGAACTGGGGTTGTTCATCTCATGGCAAAAATGAAAAACTTTCCATATTTTATGGTCAAGAAAAACATTTTGCTTCAAATAAGCTTAGGTGGAGAAGGTTTGAGTTGTACTGGGCTAGGTTTGGATTATGCTGGGGTAGTTTTGGATTGTTTTGGGATAGGTTTACAGTACTTGGCATGTTGATATTGAGGTTTGAATTGACATCATCACAGAGATGTTTAGCCAATAGTCGCTCAGCCATTCAATCAATAGTCACACAACTATTGATAATAATAATTATAACAATCCAACCGATAGTCACACAGCTATTCAGTCAATTGTCACGCAGCCATTCAGACAATGGGATTGCAGTCATTCAGCCAATAGTCATGCAGCTCACCAGCCAATATTCACGCAGTCATTCAGCCAATAGTCACACAGGCATTCAGACAATCGTCACGCAGCCATTCAGCCAACAGTGACACAGCCAGTGTACTACAGAAGCAGGTGGATGGCAGTTAGATCTGACAGGGTTCCTTAGCTCCGTGGTCTGCAAGTCCTTTTTTAATGATGGTTTTCCCGTGACGCAGATGGAGTCTGGTGCTGTGAGAACTTTAAATTCTGAGGTTCCCCCCCCCCCCCGCCCTTCTGCCTCATTATGGGGCTGGAGGGGGGGGCAGTCAGTGTACTGCTCTCTACATTTCTCCTTTCCTGTTCTTCGGACATCTCCCGAGAATAGCCGATTACTGGAAACCTAATCCCCTGTGGTCATTTTTAGATTCTTCAGTCGCCCCCCCCCCGCCAGTTCTTGCAGAAATCTAAAATCAAAGCAAAACCAGGAATAGATTGCACAAAGAATGACTTTAAAGGGAATCCCAACTAATATCTTAATTAACTTTCAGGAGTTAGAAGCTTGCCTAAAGTCACAGGCTTTTTTTAGGTGCAACAGTAAATAATGTGGGTCAGTACAATCTTTTAGATCCTAATTTCCAAAATGTTTTTCCCCAAGGGGGTCTGTTACTGCTGTTGAACTTGTTGTTGGACAAGCCGGTTCTGTCAGCAGCTTTCACAGAGTCACTGGGACTGTCATCTTCTGTCATCTTTCATTAAATTTAAAAGCAGCAATTGGTCTCAAGCTGAGGCATGGAAGTTTCCTTCTGAGGAAATTCGGATGTATCTCTGTAGCGTGAAAAAGGAGCTGACGGCATCAACATAACTTTTAAACGAACAACATAATAAATGAATGTTAACAAGAACTGCTGTTTCTCAATCACATTCGTTACAGTGCCACAGTCAAGCTAACTCAGTACACTGGCACAATCTGTTATGACCCTTTTTGCATTGGAATTATCCAATAACTCTGAAGTTATGTATGTATGTATGAAGTTATGTCTTCACTTTAAGGAGGATTTCCCAATAATTACAGTGGGGAATGATCGTCAGGCTTCTTGTACAGTACAGGATCTGTCCACTGCATACTACAGACAGCAGAAATGGGACTAGTTTTGGTTATATGTAGTTATACCTGCTTATATCCATTAAATTAAACTCATGGAGTTTTAAAAATAGTTTAATTGACCATCGATATACAGAGCTTGAAGCGATTCACCAAATCTGAGAGGTAATTCATTTCTCGGGCGTACAGGCTATGACTTTGGGGGCAGAGTGGGTCAAAGTCAGTGTATGTATATTACAAACATTTCAGTAGCACACTGCCTGCTAACAAACCAGCTTGCGTGTTTCACAAGCAAAGTTGTGAAATATTACAGCTAGTGTACAGTAAATACCTGTAATGTCACGGAATGCAGAAGATGGATGGATAAGGCAATTGTGTTTACCCCTCCGTTTAAGAACCTTGCTACCGGTGCAGTTGTCTGTTCGCTTCAGCAGAGAGTTCCCTTCATCAGAATGAATGAGAAACGGAGCTTCTGCGTTCATGAAAATCTGTCAGCACTCTGTACTGTAAACGGAGTGGATGTGGATGAGACTGAGGACCGGCCGGCGTGCCGATGACACTGCGCGAGAAAATGCAGTTTCTTAGACGCGGAGCTGATTAATGGGGACCAGATGTTTCCGAGAGCGCAGCGTTTATTAATCTTAAAGGCGCTTGCAGCAGCCGTGGGAGGCTTCGGTCCGGATAGCGGACGTCAGGCAGAGAGGAAGGATGAAAGTTCTCGCCCTGCAGAAGAAGCACGGATTACTAAACTTAGTAGTGCAGGTCTCTGTATGTCAGGTTTTTTTTTTTAATAAATTACCCGGCTTTGATTATTATTTCTAGCGACGACTGCCGTTTTTTTTTGTTTTTTTTATTCCTTTCCGGTCAAGCTCATTACAACCTGAATTTCCCCATTAGTTTGCGCAGTCGTATAAATATTGGCATTGTAAAATATTTCCTCAGCGGCCGTTCAATGAAATTCCCTCCAAAATAGTAGTACATTATTTCTTGTATGAGTTTTCTCCCAGTATTTGTTAATAAAATTTGTTTTCTTTAAAAATCAAACGGGACAGATGCATGGGGGGTGGGGAGGTAGGGGGGTCGTTCAGCACCTGCCTGGCGTGGAACGGGAAGTGCATTAATGACATCCGAAACAGACCCACCTGCCAGGAACCTGAATATTAGTCTGTGAGGTCAGGAATAGTATATGTGAGCCTCGCTCGATACCACCCTGGGTTTCAGCGGTATCTCAAGCCGCGCTAAATGGGACATGCAATCACCGTCGTCGCTGCTGTCTTTGATGCACTTTTCCAGAAGGATCCATGGTGCTCGGTCGTCACAGAAAGACGGACTTCAAAGAGGCCCTTATGCATTCTCCTAAAGCTAACGGCTTCCCAGTCGGTGCCCAGCGAGCGCGGAGAACTGATACGGATTTTTTTTTTTTTTTTGCTGCGTGTGATTCCTGCAGGATTCCAGGCTGGGGGGAGTTAAGAGTTCCCCACCACATCAAAGAAAGCCTCAGACAACCGGTTAGAGACAAGAGCCTTGTCTGAAACCATTTATTCAGCATCATACCAGGCAACCCCCTAATCAGTGCTGATAAGTGCAGGAAACATTATTTGTATAAATAAAGGATTTAATGGTGACTTAATAGCCACGGACATTTTCGTGAAGAAATGTTCACCGCAAGATCCTAGAACAATTCAGTTATGCATAGAAGCAAAAGCAGATCAACGGGTCTACTTTTACGTGACACTTGTTGTGACACCTCAATACATGCATTTTGATTTTTGTATAAACACAATAACAGTATACAGATTCACATCGAGCCCCTTGGTTCCTGAACCTTCTGTGAATCATGGCGCCGCAATCAGCAGACCGACTGACATAACCTTTCTCTAAACACACATGCCGTGCTGTTGCATTACATCGTAACCTTGCTGACCCTTGGGGCTGGGGGGGGATGGGTCAGAGGTCAGCCTTCTTAGCCTTATTATGGAGTAAAATTCCAGGGCTTTATACTTGACCCGCATCGGTAGGAGTCTACTTGGGGGGTAAAGCCAGGCAGGAACCAACATCCCAGCTCCTATTCATGGTCCAGCTTGCTCCGCTCATCCCACAACTTTTCACAAACTGACCATACAGCGTTGCTCTAAATTGTGTTATAATCCCTCACCGATACCATAACACCAACTTAAGTACGCAGGCATGACTACAACATTTTTAAGACGACCCTTTTAAAACTTTTATAAACACCCATGTTACGGACAGAATGCATAGTTAAATATAGACAGACTGCCAAAGGATAATAATTCAGTTGTTTCTAAGACGACCACACTAACAATTCATGATATATGAGAAACAATCAGCTCACAGGTGTTATTACACAATCAGTCCACTAGTATTATTATAGACCCATTATGTAGTATTTTATCTTAAAACTACTTCTGTAAAATGAGCTGGGCACCCGGTTGTGAAGCGGGTCAACTTATTATGTTCTGCAACTGCATGCCCAGCTTTTCCTCCTCCCGTTACGTCTGACAGACAGGTGCTGCTGTTTACCTTCTGCAGCCACAGCGTGTTGTTTTCCATGGCCGTCTCCAGGTGCTGCAGCTTCTGGGTCGACCAGTCGGCCTCGGCGGTTGGCGCGTCCCTCTGAGCCACGTTGGCATTGCTGTACTGCTCGGCGGCCCCGGTCCGGCATGCGTCCACCTCGGGCAGGATGAAGGTGTAGCTGCAGGGGCCCTGCTGGACGCGGTGCGTCCTGCGCCTGGCGTCTCCGCCCCGCCGCTGGCCCGCGCCAGTCACACCCGACGCCACGCCTGCCACCAGCAGACCCAGTCCGAGAACTGCGAGCCTCATGCTGCGGACCGTTCCTGCGTCGGCGCGCTCACCTATGCTGAGATGCCACCGCCTCACCTGTCACTCATCCACCAGGCCGGGCATGACTCTGCACGCTCGCCTCCGCTCCTCTTCCAGATGGATTATTTAAACGCTTTCCTTTTTAAGAAGTCTCAAGGAAACGCTGCCCTCGGGCCCCCAGGCTTGGTGTGTTTTTTTCCTCTGAACTTCCTCTCTGGCCTTGGCGCTACATGGGAGAACAGTCATCGACACTGACCCGCGAGAAACCAGGGAGCAGCAGCCGGTCTGAATCAGCCTCTCGCTCTTTTACCAAAAAAGAGAGGACTACCCTCCTCTTCCACTCCGTCGGGTCGAGTTTCAGAAATGACCAGAAAGATATAGCTCTGCCCCTTATCTAGGGACTGGGGGGGTTGGAGGGGCTAGAATCTGGGGAGGTCTGTCCACCGTGTCTCTAGACCCTTCCAATTTGCTCGTCTATCTGGCTCTGGAGACATATTCTGGCTTTTTTTAGCTCTGTTTTTGAACGTGCAATATTTACATCAAAAGCTCATCTCCCCAAGAATGGATGGCTTCTCTTTGTAATATGCTTCATTTTAAATAAGGAGGACACTGATAAACCATCTGTTTCTCACATTTTGAAAACATTATTAATATTCTTTTTGATGTATTTTTGATGATTAACGATCTGAAGTTCTTTTTTTTTTTTTGGAACGTTGTCAACTGTATCCTAAAACTTCGTCAACAGCTGTGTTCATTGTTCGTCAAAGGCTGTGTTTTTGCTGATAAATTTACTCACACGTGAACTTTAGCCTTTTTCCCCTTTTAATTTATTTGCTTGTTGAATGGGAATCCTCTGGGGAATACCAATCCGAGGTCATTCCCTGGTCTGAGTTCCAGTGGCAGTACCTCTTATCATGAGCTTTCTCCCAAGGCTTGTGGTCACCCAACACCATTTTCTTGTCCTGATTTGCGTGGACTTGTTCATGGACACCTCTGCTGTGTAGATTATACACAAGAGGTGCCACTTTGTTTTGAGCTAGAAAAATCTGACTTAAATCTGGATGTTGTCAGTTGATGCTCAGTGAGAGGTTCTTTGGGGGTTCCTCACTGTGGTGTACTATACTGGTAACATGTTGACATTCATCTGCTAGATGTTTATTGAGAAGTATTGAGATACAGTTTTCTCTTGGGTTCTATAGCCAGGCTTCCCTAATAAACCTTGCAGAATACAAGTCTGTCCCCTTAACTGTGAAGCTTCGAGCTGCCTGTGTATCTCCTAACTTCACCTACACCTCTGCTGTCAGGGCTGTTGTCTACAACAAAAGTTTCACAGGAGCAGAACAGTGAAGGTCTCTCTACTGCTGCTTTCTGGTTGCAGTCTATTTTTCATGCTCCCAAATGGATAAGCAGAGTGTCAAAACAAATACATTTTTTTTTTCCACAGCAATCCTTCAAGTATAAAAATAATGACTTTAGGATGCTCTGCAGGGGTGGTGACAGGCCTAACTATGAATGCCACTAATCTGCTCACACTGTCACTCAAAGCCTTGCGTGCTGAGGTGTACTTGATGAGGTCATGGGCTAAATACATAATGTGATGTCAGACCACATCTCAGCGCCTTTTGGCTTTTGGAGAAACGTTGACTTCACGAACAATTTTCAGCGATGAATAATGTAAAAAAAAAAAAAATGCTCTGGGCGAGAAAAAAACAAAAAGCCAGTTGTCCGTCAGATGCAGATATCACCAAGCAATGGGCCCAGAACCTCTCGTCATCTGCCAAAGGTTCCCAAAATGAGTAATTCATGAACTGCATGACAGACATATAATAAGCTTATTTTAAGTCGTCAAACTATTGTGCCAAGTTGTGGGGCAGGTCTTTACATCATGAACAGGACAAAGGCTGAGGAGAGTGGAGCTCAAATCCTATACATACATCCATCCATACCTCCATTCATTCAAACATTTTCTGTAACCGCCTGACCCATTTAGGGTCATGGTGAGTCCAGAGGAGTTCAAATTCTTACAGGAAAAAAAAGAACATAAAATCTTAATAGAACAACTTAACATGGCAAAATATAGCTACGAAATTCAACTCGGTGAACTGAAATAGAACTACAAACCAGATAACACCACACATTGTCCTAAGAGTATGCAACAGACCTCTTACTATCTCCAAATTCTGGCCAGTTGACCTAGCTTAACCTGTGTCAATGTGATCAGTCCAATCAGGGTCAGTTTTGTTTCATCACCCGAAGGCATCAGTAGGGCATGTGACAGAATACCACAAAATCCAGCTCTGTGTTTCTGTTCCAGCTGCTACTGGCCCACACTAGCTAGTCAGAAGTTAAAGGGGCAGTCCATCCCAAAACTGAAAAAAGATATTACCAGTTATTGAAGATAATCCAGACCTTGTAGTGGGCAGCTCAATGTAGGAGCTTTTTTCTTCTACCAAACTCCACACACTAACTCTATGATCTCTATCACTGCACAGAACATACGATATGAGCCCAAACACTCTAGCGATATCTTCTGCACAGTGATACAATTGTCATTCATGAAGAATGTCATTCAGTCCCATCATCCTTAAGAGAAGATCGACAAGTCTCTGGCCGATATCTCCAAAACTAGGCAACTCCCAACAGAACAACCTAGATGAATAGACAGCAGTAAAGCCCCTCTAAAACATATATATATATATTTTAGTTTTGAGACGAACTACCCCTTTAATAAATATGCCATTTAGGTATATAACCCCCTTGGGCCTGACCAAAATCAGCAGCCAGAAGATGGATGGATGGATAGATGGATGGATGGATGGATGGATGGATGGACGGTCATACAGCTCTAGGACTTTCTGAAGTAGTTGGTAAAAAATGGATATGCATGTGATACTGCAAAAATTATGAATCTGGCACCATTATTTTATAGTTGTCGTACAGTTGATGGAGGTGGATGCCAAGGTCTCAGGACCCAGTCCAGAATGTCCTACTCATGACTAACAATGGCATTTATTACTAAATAGAGCTGAACAAATAAGAAGGTCATGGTGTTTGAATAATGCCCATGTTGTGCTCATCTAGAAAGACATTGTTACAGGATTGATCAGCAAAAACATACTCGACTGGTAGCGTAAAGCAGTCTAGAAGACACTCTGCATGACCAAGGGATATTGATACTCGCATCTTATATCTTTTTGGATTTTGCCAGTTGGACAACATACCATTTGGAATTCAAAGTGCACCAGACATCTTTTTTTAAATAAATGTTGTAGCAGCTTTACCTGGTGATGTTATGGTATACAACATGGTCAACACACAAATTGTCCTTGGTACACGATGGGGAGCAATCGTCCTCTTCGTCAGCTGAGCCTGCAGCTAACATCTTTGGAAAATAGATATTAACTGTAACTGCTCTGTATCAGTGATAGCACCTTAGATGGGGAACCCAGGACAGTGCAGCAATGTGACCTAATGGAATTGAAGTCCATGATTTATATCAGCAGGCTGTTGCCTGTTTAATTGAACTTCTCTGCTATTGATAGGAAAGCCTGCCAAGTGTTACTGGTCACAGGGATTTACAGCTGTTAAAGCAAATATTATTGTGCCCATGTGTCTTTCATCTGTTTGGCCCTATGTAGATGCTATCCATCAAATGGCGGCTGCTTATTGTTCTAAATTTCATTTCGGGGGTGAGAATAAGATTGCGGTCACCTAGCAACATTGGTGTTCTCACCCTTTTGACCTCTAACTCAAACTTTGTTCTAACTATTGTGGCACCTTCTGTATTATTCACGGTTGCATTATTGTTAAACTGCTGAAACATCAGAATACATCGAGTTTATAAATGTGTTGCACTGGATCCTTAAAGGAACATCTTCATGCATACAGTCATTCACGCATAACTGGGCTTAACCATGCATACATTTCTGTGCTCAGACCATGCAGATGTATCGCCACGGAATAAACTGGCTCTGTTTCGCCCCCCTGTGGTCGGGTTTCTATTGGCAGTCCAGGTAATAAACACGGCCTTGTACTACTGCTGTTCCATTATCCCGATAACATCCATAACCACAACATTTTTACATTACAAAATTAATGTGGCATAACAAAATCTGAGAATAAGGTTAATAATTGTTTACTTTTGAAAACACTCCTTTATTTCTTGTACTCTGGCATCCACAGTTATCTACAGTATTAAATGTAGCCTTTGGGCAGAAATGCAGCCCTTTAGGTTGAAAAAAAATGTGACCAAATATATTTTTATGAATACGGAAATCCCAAGGTCAGGCGTATGGAAGGCTTGCTCTAGTCGTGATGTGTCCCATGGTATATTGTAATCGACGACTTGACACACTGACACGCTTTGGGAATCTGAGACTTTACAGCATGTTCTGCCAATTCCAGTCAATATGGACCAATTACCAAGAGGTTTTCAGGTCAAAAATCAAGCACAGAGCATAAGTATAACTGGTTCTTTGGTGCTCCGTTTCTGCAGAGAATACACACAATCACACTGTATCTATCACGTCGGTTTACGTCACCACAAAGACCAAGAGGCAATAAACTGGGGAAGTAAAAAGCAAGCAGAAGGTTGATTTCAGGTTAGATTTCAGGTTGCTGAGAGGCCATTGACTCTGTGCTGATGTAGCGTCTTATCTTCCAGATGGTGAACCACGAGGCTCCCCAGCAAGGCTCTCCTTGTGGGCTGACCAAAGAGTGCAAGACAGCACAAGATGGACCCATAGATTCAGCACATAAAGAGTATATGAAAATGAGAATGGGGAATCTGACACTTTTATAACTGATAGGCTAAAAACACTATGAAAGTTTAGCAGAAACACAACAGTAGTAAACAAAGGAATCCGGAAAATAATTAATGTTGTGAAACCCACGTCCTCCCTGCAATTCTCTCACACCCTCATCCTACTTCATCTGACTTTAATTTTGGGCTTCAGTATAACAGGATCCTACTGGTTCTTTGTCTAGGGTGTAGCCAAGAGACAGCCAAGCTTGCCAGATCAGCAAAGTTTAGTTGGGCACCATGACCTTGGCTTCTGCAGAGACTAGGAAACACTGTGCAAGCACTGAGATCTATTTTATATGGACTAAAACCTTACAGGATAGTAACCTTGCTAAGCCAGTTGAATGGTTCTTATTCTGGTGGATCCACTGTTGACCCACTTTGTACACTTGCTGAATGCTAAATTAATTAGACTGTGCTGACAAAATTATAAAATCTTATTTTAGGACTCATTGATACAGTGTTTACACTATTAAAAAGGTTAAGAAAATCTTACTGATAAGTTTTTTTCTTTATTGTTGGATCAGTAATACTAGTGAGTTGTTTTGATTAATGCAAAATGACTTAAT